GCAACATTGTATGAGACAAACAGACATATGAGACTGACCTGGCATGTAATTTAGAAGAATTCAATCGGGAGGTCATTCAATGGCGAACATGCTCGATGGCGAAAAAAATGTCCTGATTTTCAAGATGTAAGCCATTTAAATTTGGCAAGAAATGATTCTGTAGATTTTTCATACATTTAACATTGGCACCTTTTTTCTTTTATCAAATGCGTGACATTTTTCAATGCACCCCTTTAGTTTATTTTACACAGGCGTATTAAGGAAATATAGTCCAGCAGAGTTCTCAATAAGTGGTGGTGAGAAGGTTTTGCCCTCCACCATATTCAAAGGACTGACTATTTTATTGTTTTTCAATAGAAAATACATGTACATGTAATCTATAGTGAGGATCAGCAGATTATCTTCAAGGACTCTCTGATGAAAACGAAACGTAATATGTTGATATTTATATTTTCATGCAGACAACATTGATTTATTCAAACATTTCTTAGATTTCTGACGTTATTTCCATGACTTTTGTATGTGATCATGTATGTTGAACAAAAAATATTAGACACTGTGACTCTGAAAAGAAACTATCTCTGAACTAAAGATATTTGTAAACAATTTTTATTGTAATGAGCATGGTCTTGACTAGAATAAAAACTACATATAAATTATATTGAGTTATCATATGATTTGTGTATTCCTAGTACAATACATAATTTTACGTATGTATTAATCGGTGTAGTTCTGAATTTTACAAGTTGGTTCTACAATATCATAAAATCTATATGATGGTTCACTCTGCATTAAAAGCCACAATAAATCTTAAATTAAAACTATATGGTGGTTCACTCTGCATTAAAAGCCACAATAAATTCATGATTTAAATATATGTTAAAAGTTTAAAATTTGTATCCCCTCTTTTTTACTAGTATGACACATACTGTACAACTAGAATGTACAATTTGTTCCAGAATATTTTGTTTACCTGGAGTACATTTGTATATGGGAAACACTGTGAAGGCAATTAATTAAGGGTTTGTATATCGAAACTATGAAAAAGGGTAGGTACATGTAACTAAACATGCTATAGAATATATTGACCTAATTGAAAAGAAATGAAAAAACTATGAGTGACAAGCATATAATGGCAAAACAAGTTGTGAACAGTCCTGTTTAAACTAACTTAATTCTTGATATTTTAATGTGGCTCTTTATTCCAGGCTTGTGACTGGCAAGTTGTACTGTATTCATAATAATAAGCACCTTGGTTTTATTTAGAAATTAAAAATGGGGTATCTTATATCAATGAAAATGATAAAAGATGTAAATATTGGTCTGCTCTAGATGATGATTGTAAAGATAATTTTTAAAATAGATTTTCTGAATGATGAGGTTATATTATTGAATCACAAATTTTTTAGGCAAATCTAAGAGTACTATCACAATTGTGGGTGTTATGGTGCATGAAAATTGGCGAATACAGTATTACTTGGCTGCATTACCCACCTCCCTCCTCAAATATTTTTTTCTTTCTTTTTTTTTTCTTTTCCTTTCTTTTTTTTTCTCTTTTTTTTTCATTTTGTTTAAATCTATTTTCTTTTCTTTTTTTCTGTCTTTTTCTTTCTTTTCTATTTTTTTCTTTCTTTTCATTTTTTTTTTCTTTCATTTTGTTTTCATTTTCATTTTCTTTCCTTTTTTCTATTCATTACATGTATGTACACAAGTTTCAAGCACATGCATTATTTTTTTATTTTTTTTTCCCTTTCTTATATAAATATAAATATAAATATATACATGTATGTACAGTCTTCTAAACCTTGTAGAAGATTTTGAACAATGTTTTTAGAATCAGAACTAGGTACTGATGCCCCAAGTTCCATTAGTTGTTTTGTTTGTTGATGCATTTTTTGTCTTCATTTGGTTGTATTTTCCAAGCAGTTTAAATCCAACAATCATCTTGGCTCTCTCATACTGTTCAGTAAAAGACCTGTTTCCTGGATTTTCTGTTGCAAGTCTTCTGTATTTTGTAAAACTTTTAACTTCTTCGCCGGTTCCTAGAATTGTATCAACCAGTGTTGATGTTATTTTGTCTGGAAAAAAAGATTTATTGATTTATAACATTAAAGAAGACTAATGATAAGACTCATCAATGATTTGTAGATCAGAGGTTTTTTTTTATATATTTTATTTTAACGTTTAAAGTTGATTATCTACATAGGGAATCATTTAAATTATATTGGGATATTATGACCAAAAGGCTAGTTTAGCTAGTGCATTCTCAGATAGTAGCCTGGAAACTCCAGACCAATTTAACAAAAAAGTTTTTGGAGCAATGCTTCATTTAAACCCAATTCACATTCAGCTGTGCATATATTTGTGTACATGTACTTTAATACAGGGCACACATGGGCACACAACTTGAATGTAATTGGGCTTGCATGCACTTTCTTGCAATCTCTTGAAAAATCATACATACTGTGGATTCATTATTAATAGTTGGATAGCAATTTTTGTGGATTTCGTGGTTAACCTTTCTTGGTTAAAGGTTTACCACGAAATGAAATGTTCGAAGAATGGCAAATTCGTAAGGGCTCCGCGGAACCCAGTGTCTCGCCTACTTTTGCTGTTAGTCGCAGGCTCAACAAAAATGGGGAAAAAATTATTAAAAATTTTCCTCTAGATACTATCTTTTGATTGTAAGAAGTTCTGTTCAAGTTTGGTAAAAATCCAAGAAGATTTATGAATCTAATAAATGTTTTAAAAACTTTAACTGCAGACTGTACGTAAGGTTAACTGGAATAAAACTAAGTCCATTTATAAGTAATATACGGAAAAACAGGAAATAAAATTTTTACAAAATTTCCTTCTAGATACTAGCTTTTGATCATAAACAAGCTTCTGTCCAAGTTTGGTACAAATCTAGGATAGTTTAAGAAAGTTATTAAAATTTCAAAAAAGCTTTAACCAGAGTGAATGTAATGTTAACTGGCAGAAAAACTAAGTCCATTTATAAGTAAAATACGGATAAACAGGATTTTTTTTTTACAAAATTTACTTCTGGATACTATCTGATGATCATAAAAAAGCTTCTGTCCTAGTTTGGTTGAAATGTAGGATAGTTTAAGAAAGTTATTAAAATTTGAAAAACCTTAACCAAAGAGTGAATATTTGTGGACGCCGCTGCTGACGGAATGTAGGATCGCTATGTCTCGCTTTGCGACAAAAAACAACAAAATTAAATATCCACGAACATGCAAGTTTTCCTTAATCCATGAAAATTGTTACCCACGAAAATAAATGAATCCACAGTAAACATTTAGAATTAGTAGAATTTAGTGCTTTCAGATTGTGGTTGAAAGTACCACCATCTTTCCTTAAAATACATAATACATTAATGGAACAGTAATTTTGCACACTGTTGAGGCATGTTTTGTTTAAATACTACATACAGCATACCTGCCAACATTTCAAAATGCCCATGGGGGTTTTCTGTGTGAGATGGGTCTTAATAGTCCAACAAAACCTTCAATGGGTCCTTCAAATGTATTTTAATGTTGTTTTTTTTGCTTCTTCATACTTTTACTATCCTATAACCATGGTAAAATTGATTGTTTTGTTTTAAATTGTCGACAAAATTGCTCTTTCAAAATTTCCATTTGGGAACTGTCATGCGGGAAATCCCCCACAAAAAGTGACAGTTGGCAGGTATGCATACAGATATATATCTACCTGTTTGTGTACATATGTTTATAATGGATTCAGTTTCTTCATGTTCCTGACAATCTTTCAAGCCAAAAAGATCCAAATCTTTAGGCCACACCAATTTGATTTTTAGTTCTTCGGACAAAAGCTCCAAAAAATATGGGGAGAGCGAGCGAAATTTTTTTGATTGTATTTATTTCTTGAAAATGAGTTTTGTTGAGGTGGGTGCTCTACAAGTGGAGCGAGCGGTATAATATTTTTTTTGTTTGTGTGATTTAGAATTTTATGTACATGTAAAACTGGTTACTTCAAAGAAAAAGGAAGATAAACATGCTCTTATTCATATAATTTGATGTATTTGTGCCTGTAGTACAGTCTGTACCATACACAACTCTCTGGTTCGCTTTGGTTTAGTGTAATTTTGATTATTTTCGTCAAATAAGCTTTGACTGCCGCTCTGCGTGAATTTTCATTGAAAATTAAATTCATGCATGTGTATATATTAAGGAAGCATAGCAGATGCAGTTAAGCAAGAGGAATTATGTTAGTGAGGTAAATTTAAATGAAATGTGTTGAATACAATTAAAATATGTGTATCTATTACAAAACTGAATGCCCTAGAAAAATATTAATTATCTTTTAATTTGATATAGTTGTTTTTATTATATGGTAATGATTGTTTAATTGGCTGCTTGACATCCAGTTGGAACTATTTATCCATAATAGGATCAACATAATGTGTAAGGTGAATAGTTCAACAACATCCTCAGTAAGATAGTTATATTGCATGTAGATCTCAATTTATTAAAAAATTCCCTTAAAATACACATGCATTATTCTGACTTAGCAAAATACTTTTTCCTTTTGCCCCTGAAACCTGCAATGTATTTTAAACTGTAAGTGGTTGCACCAATAACACATCCCTAATTATTATTAGCATGCCAATCCCAATACCACCACTTTGGTCTCAAATGTTGGAACTTTTAAATTTTCCCTTACAAAAGAGTTCTGATTGCATGTCAATAGACTAACAAGGGGATATGAGGTTTTCATCAAAATAAGATAAATCTGTCATTTTTTTAAAACTCTTGTGAATTTAATATTAATTTCATCCAAGACTTCTACTTCTACTTCTACTTTTTATAATTTTTGTTTCTGATTGTTGTTAACATATAGTTAATTTTTTATGCCAGCACCGAAGCTCAGGGGGCATTAAGTGTTGTCCATCTATATGTACATCCCAAAAGTGGTTACCATTTTTAACTTTGCCTCAACCAAATGTTTTGAAACTTATACACAATGCTAATTACCACAAAACACTGTTCAGCTTTGAATTGAAATGGCGTCAATTTTACTGTTTGTCCCTTTATAATGTTATATGCAAGCAAGGGCATCATCTGTGTCCCATGGACACATTCTCCATTTATTTTGAACAATTGTTTTTAGAATCAGAACTATGTACTGATGCCCCAATGTTCCAATAGTTGATTTGTTTGTTGATGCAGTGCATTTTTGTTTTCATTTGGTTGTATTTTCCAAGCATTTTAAATCCAACAATCATCTTGGCTCTCTCATACTGTTCAGTAAAAGACCTGTTTCCTGGATTTTCCATTGCAAGTCTTCTGTATTTTGTAAAACTTTTAACTTCTCCACCTGTTCCTAGAATTGTATCAACCAGTGTAGTTATTTTGTCTGGAAAAAACGATTTATTGATTTATAACATTAAAGAAGACTCTGATAAGACTAATGATTTGTAGATCAAACAGAGGGTTTTTTTTTTAATATTTTATTGTTTAATGTTGATTATCTGCATAGGGAATCATTTATATTGGGATATTATGACAAAAAAAGCTAGTTTAGCTAGTGCATTCTCAGATAGTAGCCTGGAGACTCCAGACCAATTTAACAAAAAAATGTTTTGGAGAATGCTTCATTTAAACCCAATTCACATTCAGCTGTGCATATATTTGTGACTGCATGTACTTTAATACAGGGCACACATAGGCACTAGACTAGGATGTAATTGGACTTGCATGTACTTTCTTGCAATCTCTTGAAAAATCATACATAAACATTTAGAATTAGTAGAAATTAGTGCTTTCAGACCGTGGTTAAAAGTGCCCCAATCTTTCCTTTAAATACACAACACATTATTGGAACAATAATTTTGCACACTGTTGAAGCATGTTTTGTTTGAATACTATATACAAATATATATCTACCTGTTTATGTACATATGTTTATAATGGATTCAGTTTCTTCATGTTCCTGACAACCTTTCAAGCCAAAAGGATTCATATTTTCGTCTGCATATTAAAAAAAAACATCAGCCAAATAAAAATGTATGTTAATTCCAGTTACATATTCTCGAAAAAAGACAGGGTCAGTATATCTGCATTTTTTTTTTTTGATTGTCAAAATCCGGAAAAAATATCGTTCTTTCACTGAGTCTGATTCTGGTATTATACACGCCCCTACCACAAGTTTGCCATTTTCTATATGTTTAGTTGTAAAATAAACAGACATGTTACATTTTTAGTTAATTTAGTTGCATTCTGTTATGAATTTGTTGCATTTTTAGCATTAGTAGATACTTTTATGGGAAATTCATATGACAGAAGCCTGTGAATTCAATTGTTGAAATTCACATTCAATAAAATGGGATCGTTCAAAATCTATTTTACAGAATTCAAAAAAAAGTTCTAGGGTAGGTCTGGTAACTGGAACCACACATATATTTTTATTCTGCCACTCTAACAGTAATTATGGCAATTGGTCATATTTTAATCGAGGTAGGTTTTGAAAATTAGTATCAAAATGCAGGCAATCATATAGTTCATTTTTTATGCCAGCACCGAAGCTGAGGGGGCATGAAGTGTTGTCCATCTGTATGTACGTCCCAAAAGTGGTTATCGTTTTTAACTTTAAGTTGCCTCGACAAAATGTTTTGAAACTTACATAAAATGCTAATTACCACAAAACACTGTTCAGCTTTGAATTTAAACTGCATCAATTTACTGTTTGTCCCTTTATAATGTTAATATATGCAAGCAGGGTCATCATCTGTGTCACATTCTCCATTTATTTTGAACAATTGCTTTTAGAATCAGAACTAGGTACTGATGCCCCAACGTTCCATTAGTTGATTTGTTTGTTGATGCATTTTTTGTCTTCATTTTGGTTGTACTTTTCAAGCAGTTTAAATCCAACAATCATCTTGACTCTCTCATACTGTTCAGTAAAAGACCTCATTCCGGGATTTTCCGTTGCAAGTCTTCTGTATTTTGTAAAACTTAACTTCTTCACCAGTACCTAGAATTGTATCAACCAGTGTTGTTGCTATTTTGTCTGGAAAAAACGATTTATTGATTTATAACATTAAAGAAGACTAATGATCAGACTCAATGACTTGTAGATCAAACAGAGAGTTTTTTTTTATATTTTATTGTTTAATGTTGATTATCTGCATAGGGAATCAATTATATTGGGATATTATGACCAAAAGGCTAGTTTAGCTAGTGCATTCTCAGAAAGTAGCCTGGAAACTCCAGACCAATTTAACAAACAAATTTTTTGGAGCAATGCTTCATTTAAACCCAATTTACATTCAGCTGTGCATATATTTGTGTACATGTACTTTAATACAGGGCACGCATAGGCACTCAACTAGGATGTAATTGGGCTTGCATGCACTTTCTTGCAAAAATCATACATACTAGTTAACATTTAGAATTAGTAAAATTTAGTGCTTTCAGATTGTGGTTAAAAGTACCCCCATCTTTCCTTGAAATACATAATACATTAATGGAACAGTAATTTTGCACACTGTTGAAGCATGTTTTGTTTAAATACTATATACAGATATATATCTACCTATTTCAGTACATATGTTCATAATGGATTCAGTTTCTTCATGTTCCTGACAATGATCTTTCAAGCCAAAAGGATCCAAATCTTCATCTGCATAATAAAAAAAAACTTAGGCCAAATAAAAATATATGCGTGGTTCCAGTTACATTCTCAAAAAAAGATACGGTCCATAGGTTGGCATTGTTTTTTTGGGATTATCAAAATCCAGAAAAAAATTCATGTGTTCACAGAGTCCGATTCTGGTATTGTACACGCCCCTACAGCAAGTTTTCCATTTTCTATATTTTTCGGTTTTAAAATAAACAGACATGTTACGTTTTTTAGTTAATTTTATTGCATTCTGTTTAGAATTTGTTGCATTTTAAGCCTTAGTGGATAATTTTATTGGAAATTCATATGACAGAAGCCTGTGAATTCAATTGTTGAAATTCACATTCAATAAAATGGGATCGTTCAAAATCTATTTTACAGAATTCAAAAAAAAGTTCTAGGGTAGGTCTGGTAACTGGAACCACACATATATTTTTATTCTGCCACTCTAACAGTAATTATGGCAATTGGTCATATTTTAATCGAGGTAGGTTTTGAAAATTAGTATCAAAATGCAGGCAATCATATAGTTCATTTTTTATGCCAGCACCGAAGCTGAGGGGGCATGAAGTGTTGTCCATCTGTATGTACGTCCCAAAAGTGGTTATCGTTTTTAACTTTAAGTTGCCTCGACAAAATGTTTTGAAACTTACATAAAATGCTAATTACCACAAAACACTGTTCAGCTTTGAATTTAAACTGCATCAATTTACTGTTTGTCCCTTTATAATGTTAATATATGCAAGCAGGGTCATCATCTGTGTCACATTCTCCATTTATTTTGAACAATTGCTTTTAGAATCAGAACTAGGTACTGATGCCCCAACGTTCCATTAGTTGATTTGTTTGTTGATGCATTTTTTGTCTTCATTTTGGTTGTACTTTTCAAGCAGTTTAAATCCAACAATCATCTTGACTCTCTCATACTGTTCAGTAAAAGACCTCATTCCGGGATTTTCCGTTGCAAGTCTTCTGTATTTTGTAAAACTTAACTTCTTCACCAGTACCTAGAATTGTATCAACCAGTGTTGTTGCTATTTTGTCTGGAAAAAACGATTTATTGATTTATAACATTAAAGAAGACTAATGATCAGACTCAATGACTTGTAGATCAAACAGAGAGTTTTTTTTTATATTTTATTGTTTAATGTTGATTATCTGCATAGGGAATCAATTATATTGGGATATTATGACCAAAAGGCTAGTTTAGCTAGTGCATTCTCAGAAAGTAGCCTGGAAACTCCAGACCAATTTAACAAACAAATTTTTTGGAGCAATGCTTCATTTAAACCCAATTTACATTCAGCTGTGCATATATTTGTGTACATGTACTTTAATACAGGGCACGCATAGGCACTCAACTAGGATGTAATTGGGCTTGCATGCACTTTCTTGCAAAAATCATACATACTAGTTAACATTTAGAATTAGTAAAATTTAGTGCTTTCAGATTGTGGTTAAAAGTACCCCCATCTTTCCTTGAAATACATAATACATTAATGGAACAGTAATTTTGCACACTGTTGAAGCATGTTTTGTTTAAATACTATATACAGATATATATCTACCTATTTCAGTACATATGTTCATAATGGATTCAGTTTCTTCATGTTCCTGACAATGATCTTTCAAGCCAAAAGGATCCAAATCTTCATCTGCATAATAAAAAAAAACTTAGGCCAAATAAAAATATATGCGTGGTTCCAGTTACATTCTCAAAAAAAGATACGGTCCATAGGTTGGCATTGTTTTTTTGGGATTATCAAAATCCAGAAAAAAATTCATGTGTTCACAGAGTCCGATTCTGGTATTGTACACGCCCCTACAGCAAGTTTTCCATTTTCTATATTTTTCGGTTTTAAAATAAACAGACATGTTACGTTTTTTAGTTAATTTTATTGCATTCTGTTTAGAATTTGTTGCATTTTAAGCCTTAGTGAATAATTTTATTGGAAATTCATATGACAGAAGCCTGTGAATTCAATTGTTGAAATTCACATTCAATAAAATGGGATCGTTCAAAATCTATTTTACAGAATTCAAAAAAAAGTTCTAGGGTAGGTCTGGTAACTGGAACCACACATATATTTTTATTCTGCCACTCTAACAGTAATTATGGCAATTGGTCATATTTTAATCGAGGTAGGTTTTGAAAATTAGTATCAAAATGCAGGCAATCATATAGTTCATTTTTTATGCCAGCACCGAAGCTGAGGGGGCATGAAGTGTTGTCCATCTGTATGTACGTCCCAAAAGTGGTTATCGTTTTTAACTTTAAGTTGCCTCGACAAAATGTTTTGAAACTTACATAAAATGCTAATTACCACAAAACACTGTTCAGCTTTGAATTTAAACTGCATCAATTTACTGTTTGTCCCTTTATAATGTTAATATATGCAAGCAGGGTCATCATCTGTGTCACATTCTCCATTTATTTTGAACAATTGCTTTTAGAATCAGAACTAGGTACTGATGCCCCAACGTTCCATTAGTTGATTTGTTTGTTGATGCATTTTTTGTCTTCATTTGGTTGTACTTTTCAAGCAGTTTAAATCCAACAATCATCTTGACTCTCTCATACTGTTCAGTAAAAGACCTCATTCCGGGATTTTCCGTTGCAAGTCTTCTGTATTTTGTAAAACTTAACTTCTTCACCAGTACCTAGAATTGTATCAACCAGTGTTGTTGCTATTTTGTCTGGAAAAAACGATTTATTGATTTATAACATTAAAGAAGACTAATGATCAGACTCAATGATTTGTAGATCAAACAGAGTGTTTTTTTTTATATTTTATTGTTTAATGTTGATTATCTGCATAGGGAATCAATTATATTGGGATATTATGACCAAAAGGCTAGTTTAGCTAGTGCATTCTCAGAAAGTAGCCTGGAAACTCCAGACCAATTTAACAAACAAATTTTTTGGAGCAATGCTTCATTTAAACCCAATTTACATTCAGCTGTGCATATATTTGTGTACATGTACTTTAATACAGGGCACGCATAGGCACTCAACTAGGATGTAATTGGGCTTGCATGCACTTTCTTGCAAAAATCATACATACTAGTTAACATTTAGAATTAGTAAAATTTAGTGCTTTCAGATTGTGGTTAAAAGTACCCCCATCTTTCCTTGAAATACATAATACATTAATGGAACAGTAATTTTGCACACTGTTGAAGCATGTTTTGTTTAAATACTATATACAGATATATATCTACCTATTTGTGTACATATGTTCATAATGGATTCAGTTTCTTCATGTTCCTGACAATGATCTTTCAAGCCAAAAGGATCCAAATCTTCATCTGCATAATAAAAAAAACTTAGGCCAAATAAAAATATATGCGTGGTTCCAGTTACATTCTCAAAAAAAGATACGGTCCATAGGTTGGCATTGTTTTTTTGGGATTATCAAAATCCAGAAAAAAATTCATGTGTTCACAGAGTCCGATTCTGGTATTGTACACGCCCCTACAGCAAGTTTTCCATTTTCTATATTTTTCGGTTTTAAAATAAACAGACATGTTACGTTTTTTAGTTAATTTTATTGCATTCTGTTTAGAATTTGTTGCATTTTAAGCCTTAGTGGATAATTTTATTGGAAATTCATATGACAGAAGTCTGTGAATTTAATTATTGAAATTCACATTCCATAAAATGGGATTGTTAAAAATTTATTTTACAGAATTAAAAAAAAAAGTTCTAGGGTGGGTCTGGTAACTGGAACCACACATATATATTTTTTTATTTTGCCTTGTTATTCTAACAGCAATCGACATGGCAATTGGTCATATTTTAATCGAGGTAGGTTTTGAAAATTAGAATCAAAATGAAGGCAATAGTATGTGATTTAAAAAGAATTTTTGTTTCTGATTGTTGTTAACATATTGTTCATTTTTTATGCCAGCACCGAAGCTGAGGGGGCATTAAGTGTTGTCCATCTGTATGTACATCCCAAAAGTGGTAACTATTTTTAACTTTGCCTCAACCAAATGTTTTAAAACTTATACACAATGCTAATTACCACAAAACACTGTTCAGCTTTGAATTTAAACGGCATCAATTTTACTGTTTGCATGTACTTTCTTGCAATCTCTTGAAAAATCATACATAAACATTTAGAATTAGTAGAAATTAGTGCTTTCAGACTGTGGTTAAAAGTACCCCCATCTTTCCTTTAAATACATAACACATTACTGGAACAGTAATTTTGCACACTGTTGAAGCATGTTTTGTTTGAATACTATATACAAATATATATCTACCTGTTTATGTACATATGTTTATAATGGATTCAGTTTCTTCATGTTCCTGACAACCTTTCAAGCCAAAAGGATTCATATTTTCATCTGCATATTAAAAAAAAACATCAGCCAAATAAAAATGTATGTGTGATTCCAGTAAATTCTCGAAAAAAGACAGGGTCAGTATATCTGCATTTGTTTTTTTGGATTGTCAAAATCCGGAAAAAATATCGTTCTTTCACTGAGTCTGATTCTGGTATTATACACGCCCCTACCACAAGTTTGCTATTTTTTATATGTTTAGTTGTAAAATTAACAGACATGTTACATTTTTAGTTAATTTTGTTGCATTCTGTTATGAATTTGTTGCATTTTTAGCGTTAGTAGATACTTTTATGGGAAATTCATATGACAGAAGCTTGTGAATTCAATTGTTGAAATTCACATTCAATAAAATGGGATCGTTCAAAATCTATTTTACAGAATTCAAAAAAAAGTTCTAACTGGAACCACACATATATTTTTATTTTGCCTTAACTCTAACTGTAATCATGGCAATTGGTCATATTTTAATTGAGGTAGGTTTTGAAAATTAGTGTCAAAATGCAGGCAATCATATAGTTCATTTTTTATGCCAGCACCGAAGCTGAGGGGGCATGAAGTGTTGTCCATCTGTATGTATGTACGTCCCAAAAGTGGTTATCGTTTTTAACTTTAAGTTGCCTCGACAAAATGTTTTGAAACTTATATAAAATGCTAATTACCACAAAACACTGTTCAGCTTTGAATTTAAATTGCATCAATTAACTGTTTGTCCCTTTATAATGTTAATATATGCAAGCAGGGTCATCATCTGTTTCACATTCTCCATTTGTTTTGAACAATTGCTTTACGAGTCAGAACTAGGTACTGATGCCCAAACGTTCCATTAGTTGATTTGTTTGTTGATGCATTTTTTGTCTTCATTTGGTTGTATTTTTCAAGCAGTTTAAATCCAACAATCATCTTGGCTCTCTCATACTGTTCAGTAAATGACCTGTTTCCTGGATTTTCCGTTGCAAGTCTTCTGTATTTTGTAAAACTTAACTTCTTCACCAGTTCCTAGAATTGTATCAACCAGTGTTGTTGTTATTTTGTCTGGAAAAAACGATTTATTGATTTATAACATTAAAGAAGACTAATGATCAGACTCAATGATTTGTAGATCAAACAGAGAGTTTTTTTTTTATATTTTATTGTTTAATGTTGATTATCTGCATAGGGAATCAATTATATTAGGGTATTTTATGACCAAAAGGCTAGTTTAGCTAGTGCATTCTCAGAAAGTAGCCTGGAAACTCCAGACCAATTTAACAAACAAATTTTTTGGAGCAATGCTTCATTTAAACCCAATTTACATTCAGCTGTGCATATATTTGTGTACATGTACTTTAATACAGGGCACGCATAGGCACTCAACTAGGATGTAATTGGGCTTGCATGCACTTTCTTGCAAAAATCATACATACTAGTTAACATTTAGAATTAGTAAAATTTAGTGCTTTCAGATTGTGGTTAAAAGTACCCCCATCTTTCCTTAAAATACATAATACATTAATGGAACAGTAATTTTGCACACTGTTGAAGCATGTTTTGTTTAAATACTATATACAGATATATATCTACCTGTTTGTGTACATATGTTCATAATGGATTCAGTTTTTTCATGTTCCTGACAATCTTTCAAGCCAAAATGATCCAAATCTTCATCTGCATAATAAAAAAAAAACTTAGGCAAAATAAAAATATATGCGTGGTTCCAGTTACATTCTCAAAAAAAGATACGGTCCGTAGGTTGGCATTGTTTTTTGGGATTATCAAAATCCAGGGAAAAAAAATGTGTTCACAGAGTCCGATTCTGGTATTGTACACGCCCCTACAGCAAGTTTTCCATTTTCTATATTTTTCAGTTTTAAAATACACAGACATGTTATGTTTTTTAGTTAATTTTGTTGCATTCTGTTAAGAATTTGTTGCATTTTAAGCCTTAGTGGATAATTTTATTGGAAATTCATATGACAGAAGTCTTTGAATTTAATTATTGAAATTCACATTCCATAAAATGGGATTGTTCAAAATTTATTTTACAGAATTAAAAAAAGTTCTAGGATGGGTCTGGTAACTGGAACCATAACATATATATTTTTTTATTTTGCCTTGTTATTCTAACAGCAATTGACATGGCAATTGGTCATATTTTAATCGAGGTATGATTTGAAAATTAGAATCAAAATGAAGGCAATAGTATGTGATTTAAAAAGAATTTTTGTTTCTGATTGTTGTTAACATATAGTTCATTTTTTATGCCAGCACCGAAGCTGAGGGGGCATTAAGTGTTGTCCACCTGTTTGTACATCCCAAAAATGGTTACCATTTTTAACTTTACCTCAACCAAATGTTTTAAAACTGATACACAATGCTAGTTACCACAAAACACTGTTCAGCTTTGAATTTAAATGGCATCAATTTTACTGTTTGTCCCTTTATAATGTTATATGCAAGCAGGGTCATCACCTTTATCACATTCTCCATTTATTTTGAACAATTGTTTTTAGAATCAGAACTAGGTACTGATGCCCTGACATTCCAGTAGTTGATTTGTTTGTTGATGCAGTGCATTTTTTGTCTTCATTTTGTGGTATTTTCCAAGTAGTTTAAATCCAACAATCATCTTGGCTCTCTCATACTGTTCAGTAAAAGACCTGTTTCCTGGATTTTCCGTCGCAAGTCTTCACTTTTAATTCCTTCACTGGTTCCTAGAATTGAATCCACCAGTCGTGTTGTTATTTTGTCTGGAAAAAACGATTTATTTATTTATAACATTAAAGAAGACTAATGATAAGACTCAATGATTTGTAGATCAAATAGAGTTTTTGTTTTATATATTTTTATGTTTCATGTTGATTATCTGGATAAGGAATTATTGTCTCATGGACACATTCTCCATTTATTTATTCTATAGCAAATTAGAACTATCAAAAAATAACAAGGATTTTATAAGATTTTCAAACATGGCTTTTTAAACTATATGTTATAAAATTATGAAAAGATAAGTAGGGGTTAGTGGGCAAAATTGTAATGGCACTTCATGGATAAAACCAGAGGATTCTGAATATCTGACAAAAAGTTAAAAAAAAAAAAAGAGCAACCATCCATTAGTATTAGTGTGTTTACGACACTTGGACAAAGACCATAACCATATATCCCCTGTGGTGCAAAGTAGACAAAAAGAAATTCTGACCAATCTCTTAAAACTTTCAAGCCTAATGCACATTATATTCCTATCAATTTTTATTTTAAGATGAAAATAAAATTTGTTTTCAACAGAGGAATTATATACCTACTAATTTATGAAAAGTATTAGACCACCCAGTTTTACTCCCCATCCATGAAAACAGTTGCTGTAATAACCTAAAAAGGAATTAAAATTGACACAAATTATATATTTTACGAAAGTGTTAAATTGTCAGCTAAAAAAAAATAGTTTTCTGACTTAATATTTAGCATAGCATCAATACCAGTTTAATATCTAAAAAAGCTGGAAAAACAAAACATGTTTTGATTTTGTTTCAACATAAATTTTTTTCTCAATAATCTATGAGCTATCTCCCATTGAATGACACATTCTTGCTGTTTGTTGTACTAGCCTCCCCCTGAAGGTGAAATCTGTCTCAGAATTTACTTTTCAAATGATATATTATTTTATTCATGTTACTGGAAACCAAATATCAAACTGATAAAATAACTTTCTTGGTACTTTGAATGTGGAAAATAAATGTTTGTTGTCGTATTTTCATAAAATTCTATGAAGATTTGACAAAGTAATTGATAACTGAAATATTTTAACCTTAAAATTATCTTAGTTGAAAACTGCGAAAAAAAGTCCATATATTACATCGGTTGCAATGAAGGACTGTGATTTCCAAGTTAAATAAAAATTGATAATTTCCCTACTCTGATTTTATATACAGCAATGAGTGTGGCCAAAGACATTGTGGATGATGCCTGCATCAAAACAAAATTGAAATATATAGAAAAAAATATTTCTTGTATTTTATTCTTAGAAAAATAAAAAATGATATTATGTTCATTCTGTATAAAAAAAAAGCACAAGTTCATAAATATAAACGTTTTATTCCCCTAGATGAGAATTCAGCATCGATTTTACAATTGTAAAAACTAAATACCTTCATCATCATTATCTGGCAACTTCAGGTCTAGGACTGTATGTTCCTCTGGGCTCCATCCGTCTGTAATGTTCCTCTGGGCTTCATCCGTCTGTAATATAAACACGTCCACGGGACAGCCTGGTATGATGTAAATTACCTGCTCCTGGAATCTGTTACAAAAACAAAATAAGTTCAAAAATATTAAACCAAATATAAAACTTTTGAAAAATTTGCTTCTTTAGTTTTTACTTTTATTTTTGGCAGCTATCATCATTGATCAATTGTACTTTTTGACTATATTTCATTAACTTGTTTCACTTTAAATCTATATTTCAATCAGTAATGAAGACGGTTTAATGATATAATCATTATTTCCGAAATTAATGTGCGTGTCAAATTATCAGAAGTTGGTGGCTAACCAACACAATCTGATGTATACATTTTGAACAGAAATGACTGAAATTCAACTGAATTTCAAACAATCTAAATCAAGTCATATTTTCCAAATTACTTTAAAAAAAATCGACTAAATATGTAGATATCCAAATTGACAATCGGAAACTTTACTTTCATACAGGTGAGACTATTAGAGAAAGGGTGTCCAAATTGTCAATGTTAAGAGACTATTTGCTGTTATAATTAATTCAGAAATTAATGTGATGCATGTTTTAATTCAAATCCTTAATTGGAGTACAAGTATACTTTTTTCATTAGAGTATAAATTTGAAAAGAAATTTTGGACTAATTTGTAATAAATTTTCAAGCTGTTTCTCCAGGGAAAACTGATTTTATTACCATACAACTATTAACAGTTTAAGTACAATTGTAACGACAAAATACCTACATCATCATTTTGGCATCTACAATTTAATCATCTCTATGTCTAGGACTGTACTGTCTTCTTCTTCTCTGTTGGCTCCCGTCTATCTGTTATACATATTCAAATTATTTTAATATCTATTAGACAACTATTAATAAATAAAAAAAAATATACTTACTTTCCGATGCATATGTTACCTGTCCTGACGTAAATATCCTGGGGCTGGTATCTGAAACAAAAACAAAATAAGTTCAAAAATATTTAACCAAATATAAAACTTAAAAAATTTGCTACTTTAATTTGTTTTTCTTTCAAAATATCTATAAAGAAAAACTGGCATTAATGGCAGCCATCATCATTGGTCAATTGCTCTTTTTGACTGTATATCATTAACTTATTTTCATTTTAAATCTATATTTCAATCAGTAATGAAGACGGTTTAATGATATAATCATTATTTCCGAAATTAATGTGCGTGTCAAATTATCAGAAGTTGGTGGCTAACCAAAACAATCTGATGTATACATTTTGAACAGAAATGATTAAAATTCAACTGAATTTCAAACAATCTATATCAAGTCATATTTTCCAAATTACTTTAAAAAAAAATCGACTAAATATGTAGATATCCAAATTGACAATCGGAAACTTTACTTTCGTACAGGTGAGACTATTAGAGAAAAGGTTTCCAAATTGTCAATGTTAAGAGACTATTTGCTGTTATAATTAATTCAGAAATTAATGTGATGCATGTTTTAATTCAAATCCTAAATTGGAGTACAAGTATACTTTTTTCATTAGAGTATAAATTTGAAAAGAAATTTTGGACTAATTTGTAATAAATTTTCAAGCTGTTTCTCCAGGGAAAACTGATTTTATTACCGTACAACTATTAACAGTTTAAGTACAATTGTAACAACAAAATACCTACATCATCATCTTGGCATCTACAATTTAATCATCTCCATGTCTAGGACTGTACTGTCTTCTTCTTCTCTGTTGGCTCCCGTCTATCTGTAATACATATTCAAATTATTTTAATATCTATTAGACAACTATTAATAAAAAAAAAAATATATACTTACTTTCCGATGCATATGTTACCTGTCCTGACGTAAATATCCTGGGGCTGGTATCTGAAACAAAAACAAAATAAGTTCAAAAATATTGAACCAAATATAAAACTTAAAAAAATTGCTACTTTAATTTGTTTTTCTTTCAAAATATCTAAAAAGAAAAACTGGCATTAATGGCAGCCATCATCATTGGTCAATTGCTCTTTTTGAATGTATATCATTAACTTATTTTCATTTTAAATCTATATTTCAATCAGTAATGAAGACGGTTTAATGATATAATCATTATTTCCGAAATTAATGTGCGTGTCAAATTATCAGAAGTTGGTGGCTAACCAAAACAATCTGATGTAAACATTTTGAACAGAAATGATTAAAATTCAACTGAATTTCAAACAATCTAAATCAAGTCATATTTTCCAAATTACTTTAAAAAAAAATCGACTAAATATGTAGATATCCAAATTGACAATCGGAAACTTTACTTTCGTACAGGTGAGACTATTAGAGAAAGGGTTTCCAAATTGTCAATGTTAAGAGACTATTTGCTGTTATAATTAATTCAGAAATTAATGTGATGCATGTTTTAATTCAAATCCTAAATTGGAGTACAAGTATACTTTTTTCATTAGAGTATAAATTTGAAAAGAAATTTTGGACTAATGTGTAATAAATTTTCAAGCTGTTTCTCCAGGGAAAACTGATTTTATTACCTTACAACTATTAACAGTTTAAGTACAATTGTAACAACAAAATACCTACATCATCATCTTGGCATCTACAATTTAATCATCTCCATGTCTAGGACTGTACTGTCTTCTTCTTCTCTGTTGGCTCCCGTCTATCTGTAATACATATTCAAATTATTTTAATATCTATTAGACAACTATTAATAAATAAAAAAAAATATACTTACTTTCCGATGCATATGTTACCTGTCCTGACGTAAATATCCTGGGGCTGGTATCTGAAACAAAAACAAAATAAGTTCAAAAATATTGAACCAAATATAAAACTTAAAAAATTTGCTACTTTAATTTGTTTTTCTTTCAAAATATCTATAAAGAAAAACTGGCATTAATGGCAGCCATCATCATTGGTCAATTGCTCTTTTTGACTGTATATCATTAACTTATTTTCATTTTAAATCTATATTTCAATCAGTAATGAAGACGGTTTAATGATATAATCATTATTTCCGAAATTAATGTGCGTGTCAAATTATCAGAAGTTGGTGGCTAACCAAAACAATCTGATGTATACATTTTGAACAGAAATGATTAAAATTCAACTGAATTTCAAACAATCTAAATCAAGTCATATTTTCCTAATTACTTTAAAAAAAAATCGACTAAATATGTAGATATCCAAATTGACAATCGGAAACTTTACTTTCGTACAGGTGAGACTATTAGAGAAAGGGTTTCCAAATTGTCAATGTTAAGAGACTATTTGCTGTTATAATTAATTCAGAAATTGATGTGATGCATGTTTTAATTCAAATCCTAAATTGGAGTACAAGTATACTTTTTTCATTAGAGTATAAATTTGAAAAGAAATTTTGGACTAATTTGTAATAAATTTTCAAGCTGTTTCTCCAGGGAAAACTGATTTTATTACCGTACAACTATTAACAGTTTAAGTACAATTGTAACAACAAAATACCTACATCATCATCTTGGCATCTACAATTTAATCATCTCCATGTCTAGGACTGTACTGTCTTCTTCTTCTCTGTTGGCTCCCGTCTATCTGTAATACATATTCAAATTATTTTAATATCTATTAGACAACTATTAATAAATAAAAAAAAATATACTTACTTTCCGATGCATATGTTACCTGTCCTGACGTAAATATCCTGGGGCTGGTATCTGAAACAAAAACAAAATAAGTTCAAAAATATTGAACCAAATATAAAACTTAAAAAATTTGCTACTTTAATTTGTTTTTCTTTCAAAATATCTATAAAGAAAAACTGGCATTAATGGCAGGCATCATCATTGGTCAATTGCTCTTTTTGACTGTATATCATTAACTTATTTTCATTTTAAATCTATATTTCAATCAGTAATGAAGACGGTTTAATGATATAATCATTATTTCCCAAATTAATGTGCGTGTCAAATTATCAGAAGTTGGTGGCTAACCAAAACAATCTGATGTATACATTTTGAACAGAAATGATTAAAATTCAACTGAATTTCAAACAATCTAAATCAAGTCATATTTTCCAAATTACTTTAAAAAAAAATCCACTAAATATGTAGATATCCAAATTGACAATCAGAAACTTTACTTTCGTACAGGTGAGACTATTAGAGAAAGGGTTTCCAAATTGTCAATGTTAAGAGACTATTTGCTGTTATAATTAATTCAGAAATTAATGTGATGCATGTTTTAATTCAAATCCTAAATTGGAGTACAAGTATACTTTTTTCATTAGAGTATAAATTTGAAAAGAAATTTTGGACTAATTTGTAATAAATTTTTAAGCTGTTTCTCCAGGGAAAACTGATTTTATTACCTTACAACTATTAACAGTTTAAGTACAATTGTAACAACAAAATACCTACATCATCATCTTGGCATCTACAATTTAATCATCTCCATGTCTAGGACTGTACTGTCTTCTTCTTCTCTGTTGGCTCCCGTCTATCTGTAATACATATTCAAATTATTTTAATATCTATTAGACAACTATTAATAAATAAAAAAAAATATACTTACTTTCCGATGCATATGTTACCTGTCCTGACGTAAATATCCTGGGGCTGGTATCTGAAACAAAAACAAAATAAGTTCAAAAATATTGAACCAAATATAAAACTTAAAAAATTTGTTACTTTAATTTGTTTTTCTTTCAAAATATCTATAAAGAAAAACTGGCATTAACGGCAGGCATCATCATTGGTCAATTGCTCTTTTTGACTGTATATCATTAACTTATTTTCATTTTAAATCTATATTTCAATCAGTAATGAAGACGGTTTAATGATATAATCATTATTTCCGAAATTAATGTGCGTGTCAAATTATCAGAAGTTGGTGGCTAACCAAAACAATCTGATGTATACATTTTGAACAGAAATGATTAAAATTCAACTGAATTTCAAACAATCTAAATCAAGTCATATTTTCCAAATTACTTTAAAAAAAAATCGACTAAATATGTAGATATCCAAATTGACAATCGGAAACTTTACTTTCGTACAGGTGAGACTATTAGAGAAAGGGTTTCCAAATTGTCAATGTTAAGAGACTATTTGCTGTTATAATTAATTCAGAAATTAATGTGATGCATGTTTTAATTCAAATCCTAAATTGGAGTACAAGTATACTTTTTTCATTAGAGTATAAATTTGAAAAGAAATTTTGGACTAATTTGTAATAAATTTTCAAGCTGTTTCTCCAGGGAAAACTGATTTTATTACCTTACAACTATTAACAGTTTAAGTACAATTGTAACAACAAAATACCTACATCATCATCTTGGCATCTACAATTTAATCATCTCCATGTCTAGGACTGTACTGTCTTCTTCTTCTCTGTTGGCTCCCGTCTATCTGTAATACATATTCAAATTATTTTAATATCTATTAGACAACTATTAATAAATAAAAAAAAATATACTTACTTTCCGATGCATATGTTACCTGTCCTGACGTAAATATCCTGGGGCTGGTATCTGAAACAAAAACAAAATAAGTTCAAAAATATTGAACCAAATATAAAACTTAAAAAATTTGCTACTTTAATTTGTTTTTCTTTCAAAATATCTATAAATAAAAACTGGCATTAATGGCAGCCATCATCATTGGTCAATTGCTCTTTTTGACTGTATATCATTAACTTATTTTCATTTTAAATCTATATTTCAATCAGTAATAAAGACGGTTTAATGATATAATCATTATTTCCGAAATTAATGTGCGTGTCAAATTATCAGAAGTTGGTGGCTAACCAAAACAATCTGATGTATACATTTTGAACAGAAATGATTAAAATTCAACTGAATTTCAAACAATCTAAATCAAGTCATATTTTCCAAATTACTTTAAAAAAAAATCGACTAAATATGTAGATATCCAAATTGACAATCGGAAACTTTACTTTCGTACAGGTAGACTATTAGAGAAAGGGTTTCCAAATTGTCAATGTTAAGAGACTATTTGCTGTTATAATTAATTCAGAAATTAATGTGATGCATGTTTTAATTCAAATCCTAAATTGGAGTAAAAGTATACTTTTTTCATTAGAGTATAAATTTGAAAAGAAATTTTGGACTAATTTGTAATAAATTTTCAAGCTATTTCTCCAGGGAAAACTGATTTTATTACCTTACAACTATTAACAGTTTAAGTACAATTGTAACAACAAAATACCTACATCATCATCTTGGCATCTACAATTTAATCATCTCCATGTCTAGGACTGTACTGTCTTCTTCTTCTCTGTTGGCTCCCGTCTATCTGTAATACATATTCAAATTATTTTAATATCTATTAGACAACTATTAATAAATAAAAAAAAATATACTTACTTTCCGATGCATATGTTACCTGTCCTGACGTAAATATCCTGGGGCTGGTATCTGAAACAAAAACAAAATAAGTTCAAAAATATTGAACCAAATATAAAACTTAAAAAATTTGTTACTTTAATTTGTTTTTCTTTCAAAATATCTATAAAGAAAAACTGGCATTAACGGCAGGCATCATCATTGGTCAATTGCTCTTTTTGACTGTATATCATTAACTTATTTTCATTTTAAATCTATATTTCAATCAGTAATGAAGACGGTTTAATGATATAATCATTATTTCCGAAATTAATGTGCGTGTCAAATTATCAGAAGTTGGTGGCTAACCAAAACAATCTGATGTATACATTTTGAACAGAAATGATTAAAATTCAACTGAATTTCAAACAATCTAAATCAAGTCATATTTTCCAAATTACTTTAAAAAAAAATCGACTAAATATGTAGATATCCAAATTGACAATCGGAAACTTTACTTTCGTACAGGTGAGACTATTAGAGAAAGGGTTTCCAAATTGTCAATGTTAAGAGACTATTTGCTGTTATAATTAATTCAGAAATTAATGTGATGCATGTTTTAATTCAAATCCTAAATTGGAGTACAAGTATACTTTTTTCATTAGAGTATAAATTTGAAAAGAAATTTTGGACTAATTTGTAATAAATTTTCAAGCTGTTTCTCCAGGGAAAACTGATTTTATTACCTTACAACTATTAACAGTTTAAGTACAATTGTAACAACAAAATACCTACATCATCATCTTGGCATCTACAATTTAATCATCTCCATGTCTAGGACTGTACTGTCTTCTTCTTCTCTGTTGGCTCCCGTCTATCTGTAATACATATTCAAATTATTTTAATATCTATTAGACAACTATTAATAAATAAAAAAAAATATACTTACTTTCCGATGCATATGTTACCTGTCCTGACGTAAATATCCTGGGGCTGGTATCTGAAACAAAAACAAAATAAGTTCAAAAATATTGAACCAAATATAAAACTTAAAAAATTTGCTACTTTAATTTGTTTTTCTTTCAAAATATCTATAAATAAAAACTGGCATTAATGGCAGCCATCATCATTGGTCAATTGCTCTTTTTGACTGTATATCATTAACTTATTTTCATTTTAAATCTATATTTCAATCAGTAATAAAGACGGTTTAATGATATAATCATTATTTCCGAAATTAATGTGCGTGTCAAATTATCAGAAGTTGGTGGCTAACCAAAACAATCTGATGTATACATTTTGAACAGAAATGATTAAAATTCAACTGAATTTCAAACAATCTAAATCAAGTCATATTTTCCAAATTACTTTAAAAAAAAATCGACTAAATATGTAGATATCCAAATTGACAATCGGAAACTTTACTTTCGTACAGGTAGACTATTAGAGAAAGGGTTTCCAAATTGTCAATGTTAAGAGACTATTTGCTGTTATAATTAATTCAGAAATTAATGTGATGCATGTTTTAATTCAAATCCTAAATTGGAGTAAAAGTATACTTTTTTCATTAGAGTATAAATTTGAAAAGAAATTTTGGACTAATTTGTAATAAATTTTCAAGCTATTTCTCCAGGGAAAACTGATTTTATTACCTTACAACTATTAACAGTTTAAGTACAATTGTAACAACAAAATACCTACATCATCATCTTGGCATCTACAATTTAATCATCTCCATGTCTATGACTGTACTGTCTTCTTCTTCTCTGTTGGCTCCCATCTATCTGTAATACATATTCAAATTATTTTAATATCTATTAGACAACTATTAATAAATAAAAAAAAATATACTTACTTTCCGATGCATATGTTACCTGTCCTGACGTAAATATCCTGGGGCTGGTATCTGAAACAAAAACAAAATAAGTTCAAAAATATTGAACCAAATATAAAACTTAAAAAAATCGCTACTTTAATTTGTTTTTCTTTCAAAATATCTAAAAAGAAAAACTGGCATTAATGGCAGCCATCATCATTGGTCAATTGCTCTTTTTGAATGTATATCATTAACTTATTTTCATTTTAAATCTATATTTCAATCAGTAATGAAGACGGTTTAATGATATAATCATTATTTCCGAAATTAATGTGCGTGTCAAATTATCAGAAGTTGGTGGCTAACCAAAACAATCTGATGTATACATTTTGAACAGAAATGATTAAAATTCAACTGAATTTCAAACAATCTAAATCAAGTCATATTTTCCAAATTACTTTAAAAAAAAATCGACTAAATATGTAGATATCCAAATTGACAATCGGAAACTTTACTTTCGTACAGGTGAGACTATTAGAGAAAGGGTTTCCAAATTGTCAATGTTAAGAGACTATTTGCTGTTATAATTAATTCAGAAATTAATGTGATGCATGTTTTAATTCAAATCCTAAATTGGAGTACAAGTATACTTTTTTCATTAGAGTATAAATTTGAAAAGAAATTTTGGACTAATTTGTAATAAATTTTCAAGCTGTTTCTCCAGGGAAAACTGATTTTATTACCTTACAACTATTAACAGTTTAAGTACAATTGTAACAACAAAATACCTACATCATCATCTTGGCATCTACAATTTAATCATCTCCATGTCTAGGACTGTACTGTCTTCTTCTTCTCTGTTGGCTCCCGTCTATCTGTAATACATATTCAAATTATTTTAATATCTATTAGACAACTATTAATAAATAAAAAAAAATATACTTACTTTCCGATGCATATGTTACCTGTCCTGACGTAAATATCCTGGGGCTGGTATCTGAAACAAAAACAAAATAAGTTCAAAAATATTGAACCAAATATAAAACTTAAAAAATTTGCTACTTTAATTTGTTTTTCTTTCAAAATATCTATAAATAAAAACTGGCATTAATGGCAGCCATCATCATTGGTCAATTGCTCTTTTTGACTGTATATCATTAACTTATTTTCATTTTAAATCTATATTTCAATCAGTAATAAAGACGGTTTAATGATATAATCATTATTTCCGAAATTAATGTGCGTGTCAAATTATCAGAAGTTGGTGGCTAACCAAAACAATCTGATGTATACATTTTGAACAGAAATGATTAAAATTCAACTGAATTTCAAACAATCTAAATCAAGTCATATTTTCCAAATTACTTTAAAAAAAAATCGACTAAATATGTAGATATCCAAATTGACAATCGGAAACTTTACTTTCGTACAGGTAGACTATTAGAGAAAGGGTTTCCAAATTGTCAATGTTAAGAGACTATTTGCTGTTATAATTAATTCAGAAATTAATGTGATGCATGTTTTAATTCAAATCCTAAATTGGAGTAAAAGTATACTTTTTTCATTAGAGTATAAATTTGAAAAGAAATTTTGGACTAATTTGTAATAAATTTTCAAGCTATTTCTCCAGGGAAAACTGATTTTATTACCTTACAACTATTAACAGTTTAAGTACAATTGTAACAACAAAATACCTACATCATCATCTTGGCATCTACAATTTAATCATCTCCATGTCTAGGACTGTACTGTCTTCTTCTTCTCTGTTGGCTCCCGTCTATCTGTAATACATATTCAAATTATTTTAATATCTATTAGACAACTATTAATAAATAAAAAAAAATATACTTACTTTCCGATGCATATGTTACCTGTCCTGACGTAAATATCCTGGGGCTGGTATCTGAAACAAAAACAAAATAAGTTCAAAAATATTGAACCAAATATAAAACTTAAAAAATTTGTTACTTTAATTTGTTTTTCTTTCAAAATAACTATAAAGAAAAACTGGCATTAATGGCAGGCATCATCATTGGTCAATTGCTCTTTTTGACTGTATATCATTAACTTATTTTCATTTTAAATCTATATTTCAATCAGTAATGAAGACGGTTTAATGATATAATCATTATTTCCGAAATTAATGTGCGTGTCAAATTATCAGAAGTTGGTGGCTAACCAAAACAATCTGATGTATACATTTTGAACAGAAATGATTAAAATTCAACTGAATTTCAAACAATCTAAATCAAGTCATATTTTCCAAATTACTTTAAAAAAAAATCGACTAAATATGTAGATATCCAAATTGACAATCGGAAACTTTACTTTCGTACAGGTGAGACTATTAGAGAAAGGGTTTCCAAATTGTCAATGTTAAGAGACTATTTGCTGTTATAATTAATTCAGAAATTAATGTGATGCATGTTTTAATTCAAATCCTAAATTGGAGTACAAGTATACTTTTTTCATTAGAGTATAAATTTGAAAAGAAATTTTGGACTAATTTGTAATAAATTTTCAAGCTGTTTCTCCAGGGAAAACTGATTTTATTACCTTACAACTATTAACAGTTTAAGTACAATTGTAACAACAAAATACCTACATCATCATCTTGGCATCTACAATTTAATCATCTCCATGTCTAGGACTGTACTGTCTTCTTCTTCTCTGTTGGCTCCCGTCTATCTGTAATACATATTCAAATTATTTTAATATCTATTAGACAACTATTAATAAATAAAAAAAAATATACTTACTTTCCGATGCATATGTTACCTGTCCTGACGTAAATATCCTGGGGCTGGTATCTGAAACAAAAACAAAATAAGTTCAAAAATATTGAACCAAATATAAAACTTAAAAAATTTGCTACTTTAATTTGTTTTTCTTTCAAAATATCTATAAAGAAAAACTGGCATTAATGGCAGCCATCATCATTGGACAATTGCTCTTTTTGACTGTATATCATTAACTTATTTTCATTTTAAATCTATATTTCAATCAGTAATGAAGACAGTTTAATGATATAATCATTATTTCCGAAATTAATGTGCGTGTCAAATTATCAGAAGTTGGTGGCTAACCAAAACAATCTGATGTATACATTTTGAACAGAAATGATTAAAATTCAACTGAATTTCAAACAATCTAAATCAAGTCATATTTTCCTAATTACTTTAAAAAAAAATCGACTAAATATGTAGATATCCAAATTGACAATCGGAAACTTTACTTTCGTACAGGTGAGACTATTAGAGAAAGGGTTTCCAAATTGTCAATGTTAAGAGACTATTTGCTGTTATAATTAATTCAGAAATTGATGTGATGCATGTTTTAATTCAAATCCTAAATTGGAGTACAAGTATACTTTTTTCATTAGAGTATAAATTTGAAAAGAAATTTTGGACTAATTTGTAATAAATTTTCAAGCTGTTTCTCCAGGGAAAACTGATTTTATTACCGTACAACTATTAACAGTTTAAGTACAATTGTAACAACAAAATACCTACATCATCATCTTGGCATCTACAATTTAATCATCTCCATGTCTAGGACTGTACTGTCTTCTTCTTCTCTGTTGGCTCCCGTCTATCTGTAATACATATTCAAATTATTTTAATATCTATTAGACAACTATTAATAAATAAAAAAAAATATACTTACTTTCCGATGCATATGTTACCTGTCCTGACGTAAATATCCTGGGGCTGGTATCTGAAACAAAAACAAAATAAGTTCAAAAATATTGAACCAAATATAAAACTTAAAAAATTTGCTACTTTAATTTGTTTTTCTTTCAAAATATCTATAAAGAAAAACTGGCATTAATGGCAGCCATCATCATTGGTCAATTGCTCTTTTTGACTGTATATCATTAACTTATTTTCATTTTAAATCTATATTTCAATCAGTAATGAAGACGGTTTAATGATATAATCATTATTTCCGAAATTAATGTGCGTGTCAAATTATCAGAAGTTGGTGGCTAACCAAAACAATCTGATGTATACATTTTGAACAGAAATGATTAAAATTCAACTGAATTTCAAACAATCTAAATCAAGTCATATTTTCCAAATTACTTTAAAAAAAAATCGACTAAATATGTAGATATCCAAATTGACAATCGGAAACTTTACTTTCGTACAGGTGAGACTATTAGAGAAAGGGTTTCCAAATTGTCAATGTTAAGAGACTATTTGCTGTTATAATTAATTCAGAAATTGATGTGATGCATGTTTTAATTCAAATCCTAAATTGGAGTACAAGTATACTTTTTTCATTAGAGTATAAATTTGAAAAGAAATTTTGGACTAATTTGTAATAAATTTTCAAGCTGTTTCTCCAGGGAAAACTGATTTTATTACCGTACAACTATTAACAGTTTAAGTACAATTGTAACAACAAAATACCTACATCATCATCTTGGCATCTACAATTTAATCATCTCCATGTCTAGGACTGTACTGTCTTCTTCTTCTCTGTTGGCTCCCGTCTATCTGTAATACATATTCAAATTATTTTAATATCTATTAGACAACTATTAATAAATAAAAAAAAATATACTTACTTTCCGATGCATATGTTACCTGTCCTGACGTAAATATCCTGGGGCTGGTATCTGAAACAAAAACAAAATAAGTTCAAAAATATTGAACCAAATATAAAACTTAAAAAATTTGCTACTTTAATTTGTTTTTCTTTCAAAATATCTATAAAGAAAAACTGGCATTAATGGCAGCCATCATCATTGGTCAATTGCTCTTTTTGACTGTATATCATTAACTTATTTTCATTTTAAATCTATATTTCAATCAGTAATGAAGACGGTTTAATGATATAATCATTATTTCCGAAATTAATGTGCGTGTCAAATTATCAGAAGTTGGTGGCTAACCAAAACAATCTGATGTATACATTTTGAACAGAAATGATTAAAATTCAACTGAATTTCAAACAATCTAAATCAAGTCATATTTTCCAAATTACTTTAAAAAAAAATCGACTAAATATGTAGATATCCAAATTGACAATCGGAAACTTTACTTTCGTACAGGTGAGACTATTAGAGAAAGGGTTTCCAAATTGTCAATGTTAAGAGACTATTTGCTGTTATAATTAATTCAGAAATTGATGTGATGCATGTTTTAATTCAAATCCTAAATTGGAGTACAAGTATACTTTTTTCATTAGAGTATAAATTTGAAAAGAAATTTTGGACTAATTTGTAATAAATTTTCAAGCTGTTTCTCCAGGGAAAACTGATTTTATTACCGTACAACTATTAACAGTTTAAGTACAATTGTAACAACAAAATACCTACATCATCATCTTGGCATCTACAATTTAATCATCTCCATGTCTAGGACTGTACTGTCTTCTTCTTCTCTGTTGGCTCCCGTCTATCTGTAATACATATTCAAATTATTTTAATATCTATTAGACAACTATTAATAAATAAAAAAAAATATACTTACTTTCCGATGCATATGTTACCTGTCCTGACGTAAATATCCTGGGGCTGGTATCTGAAACAAAAACAAAATAAGTTCAAAAATATTGAACCAAATATAAAACTTAAAAAATTTGCTACTTTAATTTGTTTTTCTTTCAAAATATCTATAAAGAAAAACTGGCATTAATGGCAGCCATCATCATTGGTCAATTGCTCTTTTTGACTGTATATCATTAACTTATTTTCATTTTAAATCTATATTTCAATCAGTAATGAAGACGGTTTAATGATATAATCATTATTTCCGAAATTAATGTGCGTGTCAAATTATCAGAAGTTGGTGGCTAACCAAAACAATCTGATGTATACATTTTGAACAGAAATGATTAAAATTCAACTGAATTTCAAACAATCTAAATCAAGTCATATTTTCCAAATTACTTTAAAAAAAAATCGACTAAATATGTAGATATCCAAATTGACAATCGGAAACTTTACTTTCGTACAGGTGAGACTATTAGAGAAAGGGTTTCCAAATTGTCAATGTTAAGAGACTATTTGCTGTTATAATTAATTCAGAAATTGATGTGATGCATGTTTTAATTCAAATCCTAAATTGGAGTACAAGTATACTTTTTTCATTAGAGTATAAATTTGAAAAGAAATTTTGGACTAATTTGTAATAAATTTTCAAGCTGTTTCTCCAGGGAAAACTGATTTTATTACCGTACAACTATTAACAGTTTAAGTACAATTGTAACAACAAAATACCTACATCATCATCTTGGCATCTACAATTTAATCATCTCCATGTCTAGGACTGTACTGTCTTCTTCTTCTCTGTTGGCTCCCGTCTATCTGTAATACATATTCAAATTATTTTAATATCTATTAGACAACTATTAATAAATAAAAAAAAATATACTTACTTTCCGATGCATATGTTACCTGTCCTGACGTAAATATCCTGGGGCTGGTATCTGAAACAAAAACAAAATAAGTTCAAAAATATTGAACCAAATATAAAACTTAAAAAATTTGCTACTTTAATTTGTTTTTCTTTCAAAATATCTATAAAGAAAAACTGGCATTAATGGCAGCCATCATCATTGGTCAATTGCTCTTTTTGACTGTATATCATTAACTTATTTTCATTTTAAATCTATATTTCAATCAGTAATGAAGACGGTTTAATGATATAATCATTATTTCCGAAATTAATGTGCGTGTCAAATTATCAGAAGTTGGTGGCTAACCAAAACAATCTGATGTATACATTTTGAACAGAAATGATTAAAATTCAACTGAATTTCAAACAATCTAAACCAAGTCATATTTTCCAAATTACTTTAAAAAAAAAATCGACTAAATATGTAGATATCCAAATTGACAATCGGAATCTTTACATTCGTACAGGTAGACTATTAGAGAAAGGGTTTCCAAATTGTCAATGTTAAGAGACTATTTGCTGTTATAATTAATTCAGAAATTAATGTGATGCATGTTTTAATTCAAATCCTAAATTGGAGTACAAGTTTACTTTTTTCATTAGAGTATAAATTTGAAAAGAAATTTTGGACTAATTTGTAATAAATTTTCAAGCTGTTTCTCCAGGGAAAACTGATTTTATTACCTTACAACTATTAACAGTTTAAGTACAATTGTAACAACAAAATACCTACATCATCATCTTGGCATCTACAATTTAATCATCTCCATGTCTAGGACTGTACTGTCTTCTTCTTCTCTGTTGGCTCCCGTCTATCTGTAATACATATTCAAATTATTTTAATATCTATTAGACAACTATTAATAAATAAAAAAAAATATACTTACTTTCCGATGCATATGTTACCTGTCCTAACGTAAATATCCTGGGGCTGGTATCTGAAACAAAAACAAAATAAGTTCAAAAATATTGAACCAAATATAAAACTTAAAAAATTTGCTACTTTAATTTGTTTTTCTTTCAAAATATCTATAAAGAAAAACTGGCATTAATGGCAGCCATCATCATTGGTCAATTGCTCTTTTTGACTGTATATCATTAACTTATTTTCATTTTAAATCTATATTTCAATCAGTAATGAAGACGGTTTAATGATATAATCATTATTTCCGAAATTAATGTGCCTGTCAAATTATCAGAAGTTGATGGCTAACCAAAACAATCTGATGTATACATTTTGAACAGAAATGATTAAAATTCAAATGAATTTCAAACAATCTAAATCAAGTCATATTTTCCAAATTACTTTAAAAAAAAAATCGACTAAATATGTAGATATCCAAATTGACAATTGGAAACTTTACTTTCGTACAGGTGAGACTATTAGAGAAAGGGTTTCCAAATTGTCAATGTTAAGAGACTATTTGCTGTTATAATTAATTCAGAAATTAATGTGATGCTTGTTTTAATTCAAATCCTAAATTGGAGTACAAGTATACTTTTTTCATTAGAGTATAAATTTGAAAAGAAATTTTGGACTAATTTGTAATAAATTTTCAAGCTGTTTCTCCAGGGAAAACTGATTTTATTACCTTACAACTATTAACAGTTTAAGTACAATTGTAACGACAAAATACCTACATCATCATCTTGTAAAATTTGTATGTTTAATGGCATTATGAAAATATTAATAAACTTCAAATTACTAAAAACAATATCAAAGCAATGCAAAAAAAAGAAAAACGTTTTAAAATAAAAAATAACCTAAATTTTTATCTTTCTGAACCGGAGGTTGGGAAGAATAGTTATTTCCAATATTCTGATAAAAGAAATAAAAAAAACCAGGAAATTGATTTAGGTTTTGAATATATTTAAACTTTTAAATGCATTTTATTAGATCATTTCCCTGACATAATGAAATAGTTTTTTGATTTATAAAGCTGGACCAAAATATTGGCTGTGAAATAAAATTAGTTGTAACTCAAATGTATTTATTGATTTAAACTGTAAATAAAAAAAGGATAATTCCTCACTAAAATATTTCATGATTTACATTCGAAACATATACAATTCATACCTTTTCTTTTTACTGTTGTGTCACCTAATGTCTATAATGCATTTTAAAAATATCTCCCAAATTATAAGACAGTCCTTACATCACTAAAACTAACCCATAAATGAAATGCTGAAAATGAAGTTATGCATCAATTATAAACATTTAATTTACACTGACAAGAGAATGATTATCCCTTACTTCATGATAAGTACTCAATAACACTTGTACTTAATCATGAAGAAAGGGATTATCATTCTCTTACATATATGTAAAAATCTGTTCATTGAGGCATAACTGAGTGGAATTTACCTGATCATCAAATGTTGCAGGTTACTGCCACAATAAGTAGAAAATGCACATTTGCCATGTTTTGCTTTTAATCCATCTAATAATAATAATAATAATCCTGTATCTTGGCATTGCACAAGGTCATGTTTTCCTCCGACTGTTTATGGCGTCTTTACACTAAATCCATTCTTGTTTGAATTGTTTTACATTTGTCAATTTCGGGGCCTTTTATAGCTGACTATGCAGTATGGGCTATGCTCATTGTTGAAGGCCTAACAGTGACCTATAGTTGTTAATTTCTGTGTCATTTGGACTCTTGTGGCGAGTTGTCTCATTGGCAATCATACCACATCTTTTTTTTTATACAAACAATTATATTCCTCTATAGAGGGATAATTATCCTTCTTTAGAAGGGTTATTCCTCTATACAGGTATAAACACCATATAGAGGGTTTGTTCCCAGATAGTCAGATATGAAAGGCCCCAAAATGACAAATGCAATGCAAAACAATTCAAATGAGAAAACAGCCCGATTTTAAGTACAAAACCATGAAAGAAAAAACAAAATGATATACAGCAAAAACCAACTGCTACTGAATTATAGGCTCCTGACGTAGGACAGACACAAACAGAATATGGCAGGGTTAAGCTAGTTTGAAGGTGCCAACCCTCCCTCTAACCTGGGATAGTGTTGTACAGTACAACATAGGAACAAGCTATAAAAATCAGTTGAAAAGGGCTCAATTCATCAGTTTACAAAAAAAAATATCTGTTTATGATAAAAATTCAAATTTAACCCATTTGATCATTTATAGAACTATTCTTATTTCTATTTATTTCTATGCCGTGTTATTTCCAATCGATTTACACAAAATAACCGATAAAAAAACGCTGAATGCAAACGATATGAAGTTAGAACCTACGAAGTCTCATGTTATACTGTAGGTCTAATCGGTCTACTCGATCCGAAACGTTCAGTCAATCAATTGGTAAACACAAGTCATATATAAACCAGACTAAATATCATAGTATAACAAATCTAAATAAGATTACGGAGTTATGAAATATGACCGTAAAATCTTCTTTTCTTCTGATTGTCATTTTATAATGGATTAACTCTCCTTTTCGATAGTTACTAAAATATGAGACATATATATATATATATATGTCTACATGTCTCTGCTAAAATAAACGTTGATTCTGTGTATAAGTAACACTTATGAATTATTACTAGACCATTTTATTAATAAAGAAAGAATAAAACTGACCTTCCAAATGAATTCCATCATGGTATGAGTTGAAAAATTAGAACAATAGAAAAAACCGCCAAAACATAGTAACCAATTAAAACAGAGATTGTAATGGCAGTGTGGTCTAATGAACCGATGAACCGTTAAATCTATGATCAGAGGTGTTTTGTCGCCAGCTGTATAGCCAGTCAAGGTCGTTAAAAACTTCCATTTGTTTGTCGCAAAATATTAAATGTTGCCGAATTCGCAGGGCCGTAACTACTGACGAGGCAGATTATGGCAAAAAAACAAACAAGAAGAAGACGAAAAGAAAAGAAAATGGAGAAAGCTAGGCATGCAGGGGTAGAACACATCCTTGCATTTTCATATCAAGAATTAAGTAATGCAGACTTCGAATAGTAATTAATGTTGTTGTGTAGCTTCTGTACTTTTATTTCAACTATGTTAGGTATTGAACTCTCTGTCTGCATGTAATTAACATCGCCAGTAAACCGACATTTGGTTCTGCAATTATTTATTTCCCGCGAAAATGGTAATGGATTTTTCTTCAGACACCGGCCTCCAAACAGAAAGTGGACAGATTAACTACTAAATCTATACACTCTGACATATAGTTCTCAATTGTGTTCATGTCTGTGTACATTAGCACAAGTGAACTGGAAAGAAATTTAGACCTTAATCCCGGACGCGTCTATTACAGAACCTACCTATTGTATTTATTGTTAATTTGTTCTCGTCCTGAATATGCATGAAATATTTGCCACTGGACGTTAAGCAACCAACAATCAATCAATCAATCAAAAACAATAGTCATTACTTTTAATTACTGGCTTAGTTTTGTCTTTTTACTTAAGTGTATTGATACATTAACAGTATGTTTAATTGAAACTAACGAATACTAAATAGGGATTTCTTTAATAAAATCATAGCAAGTTTTTGTTGTCCACCACTACTGTTATGGAATTATAAAATATGATTGAAATTATACACACAATTCTTCCAATCTTTCCATTAGTGATTTTAGATCACTTTGATTTTCCACATTATCAAAGTAAATCAAAATTTAAATAATTTGAATTCATTTCTTCAACTTGCCAGGTCAATATTATTAAAGAAGCATTCACAGCTCACGCAGGAGTATCTAAACACCCACAATTTGTATGCATTTCTCTTACAATAAAATGAAGATTTGAGGTATTTTCAAATGTTTTGCAACAAACTTGGCTGCTGTTCGAAAACAAAAATGTATTTCAGATGGATTCAGGATTTGTTTGGTTTAACGCGAAGTGGGCTTTATTTCAGCTATGTAATGGAGAGCAGGTTATGTGATCATTTCATTCGAATGCTAAATGGACAGGACACTTGAAGACCGTGCAATTGGCAGACTGACAATTTGATTCCTTGATACTATGAATTTTCATGGGGTATTGTGGGAGTACTCCTGGCTTGCGAAAAAAAA